TATTATTTACTTTCAAAGCAACTTCAATTTTAGAAGCTGCTTTCAATAATCTTATGAGAGAAGGAGATATTACGTTTTATTTTGCTTTGTTTTTGCCATGTTTTCACATTTACAACAGAGTATAATGAGCCCTTGTGCCACAGTGGTTAAGGGCTCAGCTGCTAACTGAAATATTGGTCATTCAAACCCACCACCCACTCTACGGGAGAAAGTGTGGCAGCCTTGAAATCCTATGGGGCAGTTCTTCTCTGTTCTGTAGTTCTATAGAGTTGATATGAATTGAAATCAACTCAACAGCAACAGATTTATTGAAAGTTTAAATACTTGTTCAGGATCACAAAGCCTTTTTATCTAACGCTCTGTCAATAAGATCATGCAACCTGTACAAAGAGGAAGTGTTTCTCTTGAGGAAATTTATTTTCATTTTCTATCTGTTTCATCGGTTTTTCCCTCTTGCATGTGCAGACACACACATTCATGTAGTGGTAGAATCCTTTGTTGGTAGGGAGACTACATGGCGACTCACTTCTCTAGGAACTGTCTTCATTCTCCAATGGTGGGCTCAAATGGTCTTGTTTGCACCATGTAACAATGGTGACTTAGCCACAGATGATTGGATAAGTATGAATATCTGAATCAATATGGCTAATAAAAGCTTCTTTCCAAAGAATTGGGAGTTGGTTGTGAGGGACAGTAAGTTAGTGTTTATGTGATTTGGAGACAAGAGAGCAAGAGAGAGAGGGGGAGAGAGAGAGAGAGAGAGAGAGAGAGAAAGAGAGAGAGAGAGAGAATGAGCAAGTTTAGGTCTGCAGAGAGACCAAGAAGCAAAAGGTGACAAGAGAAAGTCCCGAGGTCTCTTCAGTATCTATGAACAGTTCCTCTCTGAGACAGTATTCCTGTGTTCTTAGGCTCCATGAGAACATTGCTCATCTGTTAACACCTTCTTTTTTCAGAAATGGTAAAACAAAATCAATGTTTATTAATTTAATACCTGGCAATGTTACACATGCATTCTACTAGGAAAGAGTTAAATGATTACCATGTAGCTTTAATTGTGTGTATTCCATCTCATCTGTCTGAGGCAATATCCTCATGGTCTCCCATAGGTCCAGATCATCTTAAATTTTCTCCCTCCTCTCCCCAGCATGACTGCATTATAGTTTCTAAGATCAGATCACTTTTACTCTTGGCTGGTATTATCTATTTGGTTTGTTTTATTTAACAGTAAATTCTTAAAATTAAAGACAATTCTATTATACAATTGTATGACACCTAATTCCCTCCTCATAAAATCTATTCTTACTTCAGATGTTGTGACAAATGAAAAATTCTCCTAAAAGAATTTCAGAGTTTTGGACACTGGAGATAAAAGCAATCCTACTTTATGCTTTCACTATTCGTTTGTCAATTTGTTACATAGTTTGGTGGCTTGTGTGTTATTATGATTCTGGAAGCTATGCCACTAGTATTTCAAATACATAAGACCAACAGAGTCACTTATGGTGGACAAGAGCCAACAGAACTTCCAGACTAAGTTAGGCTTGGGAAGAAAAAAAAAACAAAAAAAAAAACCTGGCAATCTACTTCAGAAAATTATCCAATAAAAACCCTATGGATTTTATTCAATACGGTGCTTAAAATTGAGTGTTCTAGGTTAGAAGTCACACAAAATACACAGTGGGTTCAACAATGGACTCTAGCATACCAATGATAGTGAGGATGATTCAGGATCAGGCAATGCTTTGTTCTGTTGCACGTGGGTTAGCCATGAGTAGGAGCTGACTTGATGGAAACTAACAACAACTCAATGCTGAGATCCACGACTGTAAGTGAAAGTTAGGCATAATATGGAGTGGAAGTTAAACCTTTGGAACTTGAAAGGTTAATCAATTAAGAGATTAGAGTGTTGATACATTAAGGAAAAATCATATTGAAATCATTGAGAATGACATCAAAGGATTACATGGAGATAAAACCGGTTATCAAATGTTAGTGTCCATTAGGAATTTAAGTGACTTGAAGTGTGATATGAACAGCAATTGGAATTTACTAAGATACATTGACCATAACAGGGAAAACTCTCACCTGCTGTATGAGATTTGGGAATTATCCTTTCTATGTAATGGAAATTTCATAACCTGTCCTCCTATTAGTCCTCTCAATTAGCAAACCACCTCACTGAAAACAATGGTTAGGTCCTTAGAATGAGTGGAGAAAGCAGTTCATTTCAGTCGTAAATTAACATCAAAGTCGTGCCACCTTCAAAGAAAACTCAGGAGGACATCCAAGCTTAAGATGATATGCCAAGGGTTTTTGCTACCAATCTGTGATGTTCCTCTTCTGACCATCAGGGGCACTACAATATAAACAAAGTTACATGTAGCTGTACAGAGTGACAAGATTATTCCCTATGGTCCCCTTTAAGAAATACTTCTGTGACGAATAAAGCCCACTTAGTTGATAAGTTGAAAATTAATAACAATAGCCATATTTGAACATTTTAAATATATGACATTTACTTCTCCTATATAGCAAATGAGGAACAAATAAAAGCATGTAAATGCCAATGTTAAGTGAATTATCCAGAATGAAATAAGTTATAGCTGGCTCTGGAACATTGAACAACAGCTGTAGGATTCAAAATCACAAGCTCTTTCCACTGCGTTATAGTGCTCTACCATCAAAGAAATTCTCAGGTGAGTTGCAAGCTCAAAATACTCCTTTTTCTGTTATTGTTTAACTTATCATTATGTATGCTCCAAACACTCTTAATTTATTTTCATTTCCAGTTTGCAATTACCAAAAAAAAAAAAAAAAGGTGAATTTTTCTGTTATGAGTGATCATCTCTCTATTCTTATCATATCTATAGCCTACATCCATTTTGAGTTTAATTTCTAGAAATGCTGTGCAGGAAATAATTATTTTTCCCAAAGGAGGAAATTTTGTTTCTTAAAATGTCTTTCATCAACTGGGCCTATTGCCTACCTAGTTGGTCTGCATAAGATAGGTTTTAGCATCTCTAAATCACTTTTATGTTCAGTGGAGGTATTTATAAAACAGGTTAACATGGATAGTATGTTAAATAGAAGATTTGGACCAGTGGTTCTGAAACTTGAGTGTGCCTTAGAACCACCTGGAGAGCTTGTTAAAACACAAGCTATTGAGGCCACCTCCCGAATATCTGGAGATTTAGTAGATTCAGATTCAGTAGGTCTGACGTAAAGCCTGAAAATTTGCATTTCTGATGCGGCTGGTTTGGGGTTCACACGTGTGGAATCTTTGCTATAGATCACTTTATTCTAATCTATAATGGGGTCTATATATATTTCTAAACATATATTTAATTAAAAGAAAAAAGAGAAAGAGAGGAAGCTAGAGATGAGATAGAGAGAAGGAGAAAGTGAACACGAGTGAACGTTAACATGAACGTCATTAGTATTGCTTGTACTTGTCTAAAATCTTCTTGATGATGGTCGTCACCCATTCAGCCTCAGGATCCAAGCAAATTATTTGCCCATCTTTCAACGTGGCTCTGAAAATAGAAGACTTTTGATTAAATAATAATTGTACTTAATTTAATAATGCACTATATTTGTTCATTAGAATTTCTACAACCATACAATGCATGTACTTATAATGAACACACAGGTTTTTCACACTATATTAATCATATTATTAGAATATAATTATTGTCACATCACTGTGCATTAGTAATAGAGAAATGCAAATTAAAACAAAAATATCATACCATTACACATCCATCAGATTGACAATACCATTTATTGAGCAGAATGTGAAGCAATAGATAATTTTATTGCACTATAGGAAGGAAGGTCAATTGATAAAATGACTTTATAATATAGTGTGACGTCACCTAGTAAGGATGTTGTTGTTGTTATGTGCCATCGAGTCGGACTCAACTCATAGCGACCCCTCCTTGGGTTTCCCAGGTAGTATCACTACGGAAGTAGATTGCCCCATCTTCCTTCTGAGGAGTGGCTGGTGGGTTTGAACCGCCAGCCTTCTGGTTAGCAGTCAAGTGCCTTAGGCACTATGCTACCGGAGCTCCTAAAGAGATGATCTGGCTACCTGGCGGGGAGCAGCTAGTAAGGATGAAGATGTGCAAACCCTGAAATCAGCAAGTAATTCCTTGAGAAACACTCACACACCTGAATCAAGAGGCATGCACAGAAAGTCCATAATAGCAAAAATCTGGAAAGAATGCAAACGTGCACTAACAGTAGATTGAATCATAAAATTGTGTATTTATTTACTATTTCTACTATGGAATAAGGATCTCTGGTCACATAGTGGTTATGGCTTTTGGTTACTAACCCCAAGGTTAGTAGTTCAAACCTACCTGCTACTCCATTGGAGAAAGATGAGGCAGTCTACTTCTGTAAAGATTTACAGGCTGGGAAACTCTATGGGACAGTGCTACTGCCCTAGAGAATTTCTATGGGTTGGAATCAACTTGATGGCAGTGGGTTTCATTTGGTTTTTGATGAATACTAAGTATCACTTAAAAACCAAATGAATCAATAATAAAACCAAACACTGCCGTGTAATCGGTCCCGACTCATAGCGACCTCTCCTTGGGTTTCCGATGCGGTATCACTGTGGAAGTATATTGTGCAAACTTCCTTCTGAGGAGTGGGTGATGGGTTTGAACCACCAGCCTTCTGGTTAGCAGTTAAATGCCTTAGGCACTAGGCCACCACTGAGCACATCTAAATGCCCGGATCTTATAACAGAATTTGAATGACACAAGCAAATCACAATACTTTTAGCATGATTCCATTTGTGTGAAGTTCAAAAAGAGACAAAATAAGTAAAAATTAGTTCTTGTTTCAGACATAGCCTGTAAAATTATATTTTTTAAAAAAAAGCAAGAAAGAATTAACAGAGTTTAAAATAGTGGTTACTTCTTGGAGAGTGATAAATATATAATTTGGGAAGTTTATACTTGGAGGCGTCTGATGTAGTAATTATGTTCTAGTTTTTGGTCTGGTTAGCAAGTATGTAGATTTGTATTTTACTACTGCTATTTAAGGGAGCTCTGGTAGCATACTGCCTAGGGCACTTGACTGCTAACCAGAAGGCTGGTGGTTCAAACCCAACAGCCACTCCTCGGAAGGAAGATGGGGCAATCTACTTCCATAGTGATACTACTTGGGAAACCCAAAGAGGAGTCACTGTGAGTCAGGTCCAACTCGACAGCACATAACAACAACAACAACAACTGCTATTTAAATTTATATTAATCATATTAAACCAAAACAGAGCTCACTGCCATAGAATCAGACCCGAATCATAGTGATCCCTCCTTGAGTTTCCAAGGCAGTGTCACTATGTAAGTGGATTGCTCAACTTTCTTTCCAAGGAGTGGCTGGTGAGTTTGAATCACCAGCCTTCTGGTTAGCAGTCAAATGCCTTAGACGTTATGCCTCCAGAGCACCTATTAATCATATTTTTAGAGTGTAATTGTAGTCACATCAGTGTGCATTAGTAATAGAGAAATGCAAATATATGTATATATTATATATGCATATATATGTAGTATATATGTATATATATGAATAATTTAAATAGCAGCAATATATTCATACACTCTTTTATGGGTGTGGTGCACAGAATTCTGAGATGGCTCACTAAGTTTCCCACCCTAGACCCCAAGTTTGGGAGTATGACAAGACACTAAGTCCATGGTTATGTTACTTTATAGGGAAAGGGGGATTTGGAGATGTAGTTAAGGTTATTAATCAATTGACTTTGAATTAACCAATAGCATGATTATCCAGATGAGTCTAAAGCAATTACATGAACTCTAAAAGAAAAGAATTTTCTGTGGCTCTCTCCTGCACTGCTGAGTTTTTTGCTTCTCCACCTTTCCGTCTCCCTGAAGATCAATATCCCTCATGAATATAGGCACACAAATCTTCAAGAAAATCCTAGCTAACAGATTCCAACAACAAATCAAAAAAAAAAAAAAAAAATACATCCTGACAGTGGGATTCATATCTGGTATTCAAGGATCATTCAAAATCAGAAAAACAATCAATGTAATCCACCATATAAACAAAAGAACCATATGATCATATCAATTGACACAGAAAAGACATTTAATAAAATCCAACACCCATTCCTGTTCAGAACTCTCAGCAAAATAGAGATAGAAGGGAAATTCCTCAACATAATAAAGGGCATATACGCAAAGCCAATGGCCAACATTATTGTTAACGGAGAAAGACTCAAAGCAGCCCCCTTGCAAATGGGAACCAGACAAGGATGATCTCTATCCCCACTTCTATTTAACAATGTATTGGAAATCCTAGCCAGGGCAATAAAGCAAGAAAGAGAAATAAAAGTCATCCAAATTTGCAAGGAGGAAGTAAAGCTATCTGTATTTGCAGACAAGATCCTATACATAGAAAACCTAAGAGACTCAGCAAAAAAACAAACAAACAAACAAAAAACTACTGGAACTAATAGAGAGGTTCAGCAAAGTGGCAGGATACAATGTCAACACAACACAAAAATCGGTTGGATTCCTCTACATCAAGAAAGAGGCCTCTGAAAAAGAAATAAGGAAAACAATACCATTTACAATAGCTCCCCAAAAGATAAAATATCTAGGAATAAATCTTACCAGAGATACAAAAGACCTAAACAAATAAAACTATAAAACGCTTTTATAAGAAACTGTAAGGTATCTACATAAATGTAAGAACCTGCCTTGTTCATGGATAAGAAGAATGAATATTGTGAAAATATTAATACTACCCAAAGCTATCTACATATCTAATGCAAGCCTGACCCAGATACCATCAACATTTTTAAGGACATGGAAAAACCAATCACTAATTTCATATGGAAAAGAAAGAGACCTTGGATAAGCAAAACACTACTGAAGAAGAAAGCAATGTGGGAGGTCTCACACTCCCAGATCTCAAAACCTACTATACAACCACAGTATTTAAAACAGCATGGTATCAGTGCAATGATAGACAGATAGACCAATGGAACAGAATTGAAAACCCAGAGATAGACCCGTCCCTCTATGGACAGCTGATCTTTGACAAGGACCAAAACCCATTAAACGGGGAAGAGATAGTCTCTTTAACAAATGGTACTGGCAAAATTGGATATCCACCTGCAGAAAAGTGAAACAAGACTCATACCTAACCCCATACACAAAAACAAACTCAAATTGGATCCAAAACTTAAATATAAAACCCAAAACTATAAAGCTCATCAAAGATAAAATAAGGGCAAATCTAGGGGCCCTAATTTATGGCATAAATAGACAATCATGCATAACCCAGAATGCTCAGGAGGTAGAGGAGATGTTAGAAGGGCTGGGACCTTTTAAAAATTAAATTCTTATGTGCATCAAAAGACTTATCCAAAAGGGTGAAAAAGAGAACCTACAGATTGGGAGAAAATATTTGCCTATAACGTATCTGACGTGGATTATCTCCAAAATTTATAGAAAATTTCAACACTTCAATGCCAAAAAGATAAACATCCAATTAAAAAATGGGCAAGAGGCATGAAAAGACACTTCACTAAACATCATATGCTGGCAACAAACACATGAGGAATTGTTCATGATCATTAGCCATTTGTTGTTATTGTTCTCCATCGAGTCAGCCCTGACTCATAGCAACCCCTCCCTAGGTTTCCGAGGCAATATCACTGCAGAAGTAGATTGCCCAACCTTCCTTTTGAGGAGTGGCTGGTGGGTTTGAACCGCCAGCCTTCTGGTTAGCAGTCAAGTGCTTTAGCCACTATGCTGCCAGAGCTCATTAGCCATTAGAGAGATGCAAATCAAAACAACAGTGAGATATCATCTCACCCCAGCAATAATAGCAAAGTTCAACAAGATGGAAAATAACAAATGCTGGTGAAGTTGCGGAGAGATTGGAACTCTCATCACTGTTGGTAGAACTGTTAAATGGTACAACCATTGTGGAAAATGGTATGGCATTTCCTTAAAAAACTGAAAATAGAAATACCATTTGAATCACTAGGAATATGTCCTAAAGAGGTGAGAGGCAGGACATATGCACACCTATGTTCATCACAGCACAATTCACTATAGCAAAGAGATGGAAACAACCTACATGTCCATCAACTGATGAATGGATAACCAAATTATGGTACATTCACACAGTGGAATACTATGTTACATTAAAGAACAAAGAAGAATACATGAATCATCTCACAGTGTGGATGAATCTGGAGGATATTATGCTGAGTGAAATAAGTCAATTGCAGAAGGACAAATACTGTATGAGCCCATTACTGTAAAAAGTCAAGGAAGGGTTTGCTTCGGGACAGGAACTCACTTTGTAGGTTATGGGAGATGGGAGGGAAGTGGAGGGGAAAATTTCGGTCTAGTTGTGGGACACATGCTGAGTTGGGTAAGGGGAGGGACAGTATGGAAAGAATCTGTGACCACCATAATATTGGGGAAAGGGAGGACACCAAATTGTGCACAGAAGATATAGAAGAGAGAGGCTAATACCA